AATGAGAGGAAACACACATTTCTTTCATCAGTTTAAATTTGATGTAAATTATAACCAACCATTTTATAAATAGTAGAATCTCTATATCTATAAAACTATAAATGTCTAGAAATGAAGAAATGAATAATTATCTCACCAAAAATTAAATAAAATGCATAATTGAATATTTGAAGGGACAATGTATCCACACAAACTTCTTTTCAATACTAGCCAAAGCTGACCATAAATGAAATAATACAATAAAAATGTGGTTCCAAAAATGAAATTATACAACAAGCAGGGACAAATTGACCATAAATGAAATAGCCAAAATAAAAATGTGGTCTTTAATCAATGTGATAATGGATGGAATTATTTGGCAAACAAAAAAAAAAAAGATAATGGATGGAATTATACAACTGGGCTAAGTGTATGAAGCTTTTCCATTTTCTTTCTTTTCCATTGCTTTAACTTCTTTGAAGAGATGAATTATATTTTAATATTTAAGAATTATTTTTTTCCTCAAAAGAAGAAGATATATTGATTTGTGCCTTTTCCTCAATTCACAATTACAAGTCAAGCATGACTTGAGATTTTGAGGATTTAGCAAAAATCAAGCCTTAGAGTTGTGATGTCAAGTCCACTCGTAAAATCAATTAAGTTTCAATGACTCATCAAGACAATTAAGTTTCAATTAATTACCTAACCATCAATTAAAAAATAAAAATAAAAAGAAAGAAAGTGAAGCCCTCTACATTTGAAGACTTTGGATATTTTTCATAATTGTAAAAAAATTAAAAAATATGATATATGATATTTAAATTAAAATTTTAAAATGTAAAAAATATATGAAAAAACACTTCTGAATTTGATAAACACGAACGACAAATATAATTTTGGCATTTTTATCTTCAGAAAATGAAAAATATTTTAAATCATAATAAAATATAGTTATATACTTTGGAAAAAGTGCTTGATGTCTGCTCAATAGACATAAAAATAAGAAAATAAAAACTTAATAAGAAAAATAACCTCTCTTAACTCATACGATTAATTCTTCTGTTTTAGTTGGATGGAATACTTTTGATAGGTATAGAAATAAGAAAATAAAAAATATACTCTCCTTATTTAACAAGAAAATGTTAACAAAGTGAACTTTGGCCATCAAATCTCTATTTAGTTTTGCTTTTATCTTTTAAAATATTCATTTATTTTTTATTACCATTTCTCCCTCCATTAAACTTGAATTTTTTGAGGGTTTGGGTATTCAAAAATGTAAGACATATTTAGTGTTACAAGGTATGTGTTTTTTTTCCACAAATGCCCTTAATAAATAAATCACTTTATATTTTTTTAAATGAAACACCCAATTAAATAAGGGTAATTTATGGAAGGATTTTTTATTTTGAAGACAATTAACTAATTTTTTGGGAGTGAGATTTGGTCAAAAATGCCTTACATTTTTGAATGAAAGGGAGTATTTATAACTTCATAAGTTTGATAGTTAATTGATAAGGATGATGATAAACATGAGAAGATCTTTATCAAATTTTTATTTGTAATTTTAGATGATAGTAAATTATTTATAGTCACCAATTAAGAAGTGATTTTGTATCATTATTGAATTTGGGGAGTAATTCTTGCATATACTGGCCTACAGCTGTTTAGGAAAAATACTTATTCAAGAATTTTGTTTTGACTTTGTCTTCATTTTTTTTTTCGTTTAGATTATTTTTGATAGATTAATATAGAGTATGTGTGGACCACTCAGTGCTTGCTCCCCCCCCCCCCCCCCCCCCCGGTTGGTTAGATTATTTCCATTTTGGACAGAAATGGAGAGTGACTTTGATGCGCGCTCATTAGTCAAGCATGATATTTACCATATACCCGCCGCAAACGAATGATAGATATCCAATCCAAGCCTCTAATGAATTTTGACATCCAATCAGAGATTTTTTTTTTCTTTTATGCCTACTTACAAGTCTTCCCACTATTAACGTTTATTTGGGATTGCCCTCTACATATATATGGCCTGCCAAACCTGGCCGTAAATGAAATAATGCAATGAAAATGAAAATATAGTCCAAGAAGTGAAATGATATTCATCATAAAGGGGCAAAGCTTCTTATCACTAATGTAGTATTTGGGTTGCTCTGATATATGACTTACACAAAGCTGTGATAATGAAAATATGGTTTTTGAAGTGATAACAAACCACTTTTTGGGACAAAGCTTTTTCTCATTATTGATGTAATTTTCTTTCTCTTTCACTGTATCAACTTCTTTTATGGGATAATTTTTATGTAATAGTTATTCCTATCTTTACTCAGCTCACAAGGGAAGCACACCATGCACTTCATAATTGAAAAGTATATTATCAAAACACAATCTACAATATATTTTATTTATATTAATTTTTTCTTCTTTCGGATGATATAAAAAATAAAAATATGTGCACTCATATTCAGCTTTTGATAAAGAATTGTGTTTCTTGTAACTGATTTATCCATTATGTGTGTTCTCTATAAGAATTTTGATATTAAAACGTCTTTTGATATTCAATTCAAATCTGAAGAATTGTGATATCCAGTTAAACATTTTTTATGATTACTCACAAGTCTTCGCACAATTAACGTTCTTTTCAGGTACCTGCTATATATGGCCTACCAAACCTGACTATAAATGAAATTATGCAATGAAAAATGAAAATATGGTCCAACAAGTGATATTGTATACCTTGTAAAAGGACAAAACTTCTTATCACTAGCGTCCAATGCGGTGATAATAAAAATATGGTTCTTGAAGTGACAACAAACCACGTTTAAAGACAAAGTTTCTTCTCATCACTAGTAAAATTTTCTTTCTCTTGTATTGCATCAAGTTCTATATTTACTTAACTCATTAATAAATACTCATCCATGTAGAAATAGAATTCTATATTTCTTTATAATTTGAAAATATGTTATTAATAACAATATTCAATATATTTTATTTTATATTTGTTCTTCTTTTAGATTATATATAAAAAAATAAAAATATTGGCACTCATATGGATCTCTCCCCGACCTTTCTTTTAACAGAGATGGAAGACCGTTGGGTTGAACGGTCTTGAACACAAAGTACTAATGTGAGTCCATTAACTAATATAAAAAATATTAAAAAGATTTGCATCTCGATAATTGATTCTGACTTTAATTGGTGCTTTTAAGGCCAAAGTACTAATGTGAGGTTAATTAATATCAACATATATTGAATAAAAAACACAACCATTGGTGCATATAGTTTTATCGAATTTTAATTTGCTTTTAGTTCCTGCAATTCTTTTCAATGTTTTAAGTCCTTACAAGGATTGAAAACACTTAAAACACTAAAGTATAGGGACCCGAGCAGCAAATGTCACCCAAGCTTGCTAAAATTATAGGGATTGCAAACATTAAAAAAAAAAAACTATAGAGACTAAAAGCAAAATTCGATGAAACTATAAAGACTAATGATTGTGTTTTCCCAATATTAAAAAAATTGTGTTTCCATAATTGATTCTGACTTTAAGGCTTTACAGACTTGACTTCAAATTAAATAATACAGTGATAATACTAACTTTGATAATTATTTTCGTCCTTAAAAGAAGAACATATATTTGCGCCCTTTCCTCGATTCACAACCACAAGTCAAGTATATACTCTTTCAAGGATTTAGAAAATATCAAGCTTGTGAGTGGTGAGTTGTGAGTTGTGTGATGTCAAATCCACTCCACAAGTCAATTAAGTTTCAATTAATTATCTAATCATCAATTAAAAAAAAACAGCTAGAAAGAGAAGTACCTTTGATATATTTGATATATAAATTAAAGTTTGAGAATGTGAAAAAATATTAAAAAAAAACTTCCGATTTTTTGTGCATAGGTATTCTCTCATTGAAAATAATCATGTTTTGAGATGCGGGTGGACATTAATTGTACATTTCTTCTAATAGAAATTTGAACTTTAGTTTGCTATGTTGTGAAGGTCTGAGTGACTAGCCTTTAACCTAATGCCTATTGGTACACTTCTCTTTTTTTTTTTAATATAATCATCACTAGCCACAGATATTTTTTATCTCCAGAAAATGAAATATATTCATAAATTATAATAAAATATAGTTATCCACTTTGGGAAAACATACCTGATGTTTGTTGAAATTTGTTCTGGAATACCAGGTGATACTATTGGGTATAAGATAGATTTTTCTTTTGGGTCGAGATATAAGATAGCTATCTAAAAATATTTCATCCGATAGTTTCTAATACATTAAAATTTAATATTTATCTTTTATATAACTTTGTTTGGTTTCCAATATATGCCTCGTTTTGTTTCTTTTATCTTTTATATACTATTGGGCTATCGCAGTCAACTTCAATCATGCAATCTCTTTTACCACTCTAAAATGAAAAAAAAAAAAACAATAGTAAAGTCTCTCTTTAACTCATTTAGTTTATTCTTCTATTTTATTGGGATATAATACTTTTGATAGAAATAGAAATAAATTAAAGAATACTCCTTTTGTTATTCAACTAGAAATGTTAACAAAGTGAGCTCTGACAATTCAATCTCTGTATATTTTTTGATGAATAGTTTATAATTTAATTTGATTTGATTGGAAAAGTCGATTTGGCTTGTATTGTGTCGTACTTTTTTTAATTTTGACTTTTTCTTATATTTTTTATTTAGAATTTTTTTATTGATTGATACGAGACCTAGTTATATAGCTTTTATATTCCCAAAGTCTTTCATATAATTAATAACAATCATGAAACATATTTTATTTTTTGTTTTGGCTCATATTATAAAAATAAAAATATTGTCAAACCTAATAAAATCTTCATTCAATTTAATACGTTCTTATAATTGGAGCTTATTCCCACCTTCTCTTTCTCTATATATGATACATTGTTATGTTTGATTGAATTTAGATAGTTGTTCATCAATTAAAGCCACGTGTGTGTTAATACGTCTTGTCTTGATTTAGAATTCGAGAAGTATAAAATGGGTGTTAATCCCTCAATGCACCAGACTTGCAATTTTGATGAGTCTAATATGCTAAACATGGCAAAACCTTCTTCCTTTGTTTTCCTCTTCTCACTCCATTGCCTCGTGGCCTCCTTAGCTTGGACCAAAACAAACATCACCACCGACAAATATGCACTTCTTGCCCTTAAATCCTCTATCACTTCAGATCCATACAATTTCTTAGCTAATTGGTCTATCTCTTCTTCTCCATGCGATTGGGTTGGTGTCACCTGCAATACTCATCATGAAAGGGTCCACTCTTTGAATCTTGCTGGCATGGATCTTACAGGCACCATATCTCCACCATTGGGAAATCTCTCATTCCTTGTTGAACTTGATCAACTTGATCTCAGTAACAACAAATTGAATGGTCAAATACCAGGAGAATTAGTTCAATTACATCAAGACTATTCAACTTGAGCTACAATAACTTTCATGGACAAGTTCCAAACATGGATAGGAGATTTCTCAATGCTTGAGGACTTGAGTTTTCGAAATAACAGTCTTAATGGATTTATTCCATTATCTCTATCCAATCTATCAAGGTTGGAAATCTTGGATTGGGGTAGCAATTTAATTGAAGGAATCATTCCACTCGAGGTGGGAAAAATTAAGTGCTTGAAAATTTTACGATTTTTAGGTAACAAACTTTCAGGAACCATCATTCCCTTAGCAATCTTCAACTTGTCTTGACTTGAGCTATTGAGTTTGTCTTATAATAGTTTGTCAGGAATGTTTTGAATTACTTTTATTGATTTTTTTGTATTGTTATTGTAACGATTGATATCATTTGAGGAATATGGGATGGTCAAGATTGTTCTTAAAACCAACATATCTGGAACATCTAATTTTGATTTGGATAATATAAATTATATTTTTGTTTTATTATTTATAATTAATTATTATTTTTATAAAATTTTGTAGTTAAAAAAAAATCAAAGAGTCTCCTAATAAAGATGTGTTTTGATGGGAATGATGAAAAGCAAGGGCCAAATTAGATTTCAATGTGTTTCTTAGATTTTTTTTATCATAGTTAATTGAGGAACTTAGAATCTAATTTCTTGAATGAGTCGAATACATCTTACAAGATATACAGGAATTTAGCAGAAATAATTGATCCTCCAAATCCGAAAAGATAACAATAATAAATATAAATTAAATTATTCTAATTTCGTATATTCTGTGATATGAAACAAAATAAAATAATAAACTGAACTGAAGCATAAATAGTGTAATGGGTCTTGGGGAATAGCCTAATACGTTATCCAACATATCCAAATAATTTATTCCATGGTAATTCCTGTTTTAAAATACTGACATGCTCTTTTTCTCCCTCCTAATATTTCAGGGAGACATTCCAAATGAGATTGGTGATCTTTCACAACTAAAGATATTGTATCTTGGAGTGAATCAACTTGTTGGTTCTATACCATCTTCATTATTTAACAATTCAGTGCTATGAGACATTCAACTGGGAATGAATCAATTATTAGGGAGTCTCCCAACAAATGTGTGTCTTGGGCTTCCAAAACTAGAAATATTTCATGTGAATGGAAATTATTTGTCTGGTGACATACCTTATATTTGGCATGAATGCAAAGAATTGTCAAAGTTACAATTACGTGATAACATGTTCAACCCAGGAATCATTCCAAGTGCCATTGGAAATGTGACCAACCTTCAATCATTATATCTTGCCAACAGCAACTTACAAGGTAAGAGTTTTAATTATATGATTGTCTTAAATTCTATTCAAGTATTTTGATAAGACACTAGTGAATATTGATAATTCAGCTAGACACTAGTGAATACGATGCTTTATATGTAAATTAGCTCTTGATTAGATTAACTAATCCCAAAGTGAATATGAATAAAATGACATATATGATATTAAGAAGTGTAAAAGTGAGGTGAAAGTGAAGAAAGGATTTTTAATTTGGATGGAAACATTCCAAAATCTGTAAGTGTGCTAATTCATTCACAGATATACCCATATCCATATGGGTGTGTAACATCTCAAATAGAAATAAATTTGAAGTAATTTCCTTTAGTTTTTCATCATTTCATATATTGTCCATGTTTTAATCATGGGATTTATGTGTGTGTATTCACGACACACACTTATTATGGTAAAATATAATTTCAATTCAATTACATTTGTAGTAAACATCAAGTAACTGCACATCTTTAAAAGATTTGTAATATCTATGTTTTATCTGATAATATAAAAATAATACAAAGGAAAGTTTGGATTCTAATTCTTCCTTTTATTAATTTTTCATTTTCCCCGCGTTTTCTTTTCAAAGGCAAGTTTTCTATATACATGGATGAGTTTTGATTTTTTGGCTCTAATATATAGGTTTCTAGCAATATATATTCTTAAAACAGGCTTTTCTTGCTTCTGTTCTTATGTTTTCTATTACGTTTTATGTTGCCAAATTCACTTTAACATTTACCTTTTCTCTTGTATTGCTAGAAAAACATTTATTTAAAAAAAATATCATATGCAAACTAAAATAAAATAAAATAGTGATAGTAGTATTTACATATATTAATGCTTGATGTGATGAGAATTAATATAAATTTAATAAATATAATGTCAATTATATCATAACAAGATTGACACTTTACTGTTTTTTTTAATCTGACATTTACTATTTTCATCATTACTTCTAATCTTATATCAACAATTACTATATTAAAAACTTCAATTTTTCAAAAGTAAATCTTCTATGATTTTTTTTTTTTTTGGGGGGCTGGATTCTCTGGAATTTTTTAAAGCAAATCTTCTAAACTATAGCACTTCAATGTAAGCCCATATATCCGAAGCCCAATTATTACATCTTTTGGCACATTAGTTTTACCCACACTTACAGATTAGTTCATTGTTGTGTTTTTTTTTTCATTTATTTCATATTTTTCCAAGAATGATATACCATAAGTATTCATTAAAATTATTTTTTAAAACTTATAACAGAGGAATTTAAAAAAATCATATTAGACAAAGATATATAAACAAAACAAAATGGTAAACAAAGCTACATATATCACAACAACACAACTTATCCTAAACAATAAAGAAAAGAATAAATAAGTAAATTACCTTTTGAACTTTTGTTCAATAGTTCCATAGACCTTGAACTCATTTATTATGTAAATTGTTCCCTTAACTTTTGAAACTAGTACAATCTGGCCCTTGACATTAACGAAAATTAACTTTGAGTATTAATTGACTAGAAAATAATAGTAAAGGACCACTTAAATTTTGATGCTTCTCTCTTGCCTTTTAGGAATGTTAACTTGTTCATTTTAAGGTTTTTATTACTTACAAGTGACAATAAGCATTTAGGAATGTTTAATTTTGATGATTTGTAAAATCTACATTATTTGTTTTCACTATATTGATATAATTGGATAGGGATAATAGAAAGGACTACTTGGATCTTGATACTTCTCTCTTGTCTTTTATTTTTCTTTTTTTCAGCATTTTCTTTTCGAAGGCAAGTTTTTTTGTTTTCTTACACATATAGAAAACAAGCTAGAAGGCATTAACTTTAATTATATCATGATATGTCTATATACATGGATGAGTTTTGAATTTTTGTTTCTAATATACACGCTTTTATCAATATACTAGAACAGGCCTTTCTTGTTTCATTTTTTAATTTTGTTATCACATATCATATCGTCAAATGCATTTTAAATGTGTATATACTTTGTCATTTGCACTGTTAGAAAAATATTTATTTGTATCAATAAAAATATTTAATTTAAAAAATAAAAAAATCTCATATATATACTTACATAGTAAAATAAAATAAAATGGTGATAGTAATACATATATTGCTTGATGTGAGAATAATATAAATTTAATAAATATAATTCCAATTATATCATAAAAAAGATTGACATCTTACTATTTATACCATTACTGCTAATCTTATACTAATAATTACTCTAAAAAAAATCTTAAATTGTTTAAAAGTAAATCCAGCGCACCTCAATGTCCACATATCCGAAGCCCAATTAGCACATATTCTCCTCCATTAGTCCTTGTCTCACAGTTCAAGTCCATATATAATCATTAAACATTTATTTCATATTTTCTCAAGAACTATATATTATTTCATTAGTTTATTTTTATTTTTTAAAACATCTAGCAGTGGAATATAATTAAATAGGCAAAAAATATATAATCATTAAACCCATCCATTACATGCATATTGGTTTAGACTTGTGCTTTTTCACATTTAATTCATATTATCTCAAATGAGAAACAACAAGAGTAGTGAAAGATCACCACATCTAATTATTCCATTAAAACTTCTTTATGTTTAAAAATAAAACACAGGAATTAAAAATTTGATTTTAGATAGGGATATATAACTAAGTATAGAAAATCAATTACAAATTATATTACATGAATTGAATAAAAAATTTTAAATACAACTAAAAATTATGACTATTTCCCCCCAAGACAAAACCCTTTTTAATTATGTTCAAAACCAATTTAGACACAATCATACATGTAACACCACCTATCCTATAATAGTAGACGTGGTAATTCAAGCAAAGTCCAGCTGGTCAACCCGAATAAGTCCAAAATATGTTAGATCAGGTTTGAGAGTTTATAATATTTTATTTACTCCAGAACTATTTGAGCTACCCGAATAAAACCCAAAGAAATCTGGGCCAAGCTCTAAATGAGCTTAGCTTGAATACTTGAATTATTTTTCATTATTAATAAAATAATATTAAAATAAGATAAAAAATGAAAATAGTAATTTTTGAAAATAACAACTGAAATTATCTAAAAAAGAAAAAATAAAATAAAAAATATATGTTCAGATCTGAATAAGCTCAGCTTGCCTAAATTATCAACTCTATATAATGGTAAAGAAAACAAAAACAAAACTCTGTGAAATTAATAACAAAATACATATCGACTAACAGGATATTCTCAATACTAAGCAAATAAATAAAATGTACCATATTAATTCATTTGGGTTTAGAGTGAAACTGCACTGCTTGTTTAATTTCAAAACTATGCTTTGTGAAATTAAATAGTACTTTTAAAGTTAAATTTTTTTCATATAATAATTAATGAATAAATATTTATTTTGAAATTAAAATTTTGGGAGATAAGAGAAAGGAAAAATACTGAAAAAGAAGTTAAATAAATAAAGAATAACGATGAGAGAGAAGAAAATTTAAATTTAAAATGAATAGAAGAGAAAGTAACAAAAAAATATTATTTTATAAGTTAAGTTGTGGGCAACAAATTTTCAGGAATGATTGCAACAACAATTTCTGACATATCTTCACTTGAATTATTGAATTTGTTTTATAACAATTTGTCAGATGTATTTTAGATTATTTTTAATATCTATAATTGATCTTTGTTCAAAACTAGTCTATTTGGTTTGTTAGATATAATCCTTCAAGGATCATGTAGAGGAATCTGAGTTAGTCTTAATTGTTTTCTTCTATCTTTATTTTGGCATTTCTCATTTTTGTTTTTTTTAAAAAAACTTTCATGCAATTTTCTGCTATAATTATTTATCCAAATGGATCTGAAGGCTCATCAATATTTGAAAGTAGATTGTGTTGTTTTTATATATATTGCGAATACTCTCTATTCTACACAGGAAGAGTATTATGGCAAAGTAAGTTTAATGATATATCCACTTCTCAAGTGAAAAAAATATTTTTTGTTATCTCTACTATATTCACATGATATTTGTTTTGAACTCCTGGAAGATTTCATCCAAATTAATATGACTTCGTAAAGCACTACGTGTTTCATTCTATTATTATATCTTTTTTTAATTTTTTTTTATGGAACCTATATCTGTTAAGTATTAGAGAGCATTCAGAGAGCTTCTAATAACAAGCTCCCTTTAATACGCCGCTCCCTTAATTTATGCTTTCAAGGAAATTTAGTGTATTATTTATACAGCTTGGTGGGGGTGATAAACATAGTGCTTATCCTATATTGTCTCCGAAAGTTCCAATTGAAGATATTTTCATTCCTTAAGTATAATTAAGCTTGTTTATCTTGACCATCAAATACGTTAAATATTTTTGTATTTTAGGTGAAATTCCTTCCTTTCTTTGGAACATGCCTTTTTTGAAACATGTTTACCTTTGATGGAACAGTCTAAATGGCAATTTTCCTGAAGAAATGTGTCATCAACTCTCTCTGCTGGAAATCTTCAATGTTGTTATGAATCAACTAGAGGGAAGCATTCCAAAATCAATGAGTAACTGCACGTCTTTAAAAAAATTATATTTGGGTTTCAACTCTTTCACAGGTATATATCATTATCAATTAATTATGTGAGTATGTGTCCTTTATATATTGACCTTTTCCGAACATTTATTACTTTCATTTATACAACTTACATGAAAAATATAATAGGCACATCAAAATATAGTTTTCAAACGCTTATACTTAAACTGCTTTCAATAAATTAAATAAATTAGGACATCTTTTTGTAAGATAATTGTTATGATATAAAAATGAGAAATAAAGATACTTTTTAGTCCTTAGAGTTGTGATCAATTTTTGATCAAGGTCTTTATAGGCTTTCATTAAAAAATAATCATTCGAATTGTGGTATAGCTAGTTTTTTTTTTTTTTTTTTGCCCAGAGTGGTATAGCTATTGTTTGATCAAAATCGCTACTATTATCAAACATTATTACCACATCATTACATGTCATCGCTAAGGACCTTGATCATGATTGACCATATAATTTCCAGGATCGATTCCTTGATGAAAAAATTACAAGAACCTTGACCCGAGCGGACTATAATTCTAAAGATAAAAACTATATGTTTTCCTTATTAAAGTTTGTGATGGATTTTGTTGAGATAAATTTTGTCACTTTATTTAATGTTCTTCAACGATCACGTGCTAGTAAATTGGCCCAAAAAGCAACCCATTGTACTTAGATAATTGCATAGCAACAAAAAAAATAAAGACTTTTGCATTTATACTTTAATTTTAACGTAACATTCACATCAATTACAAGGGAACTAATTATACTTTACAATACTTACTTGATTAGCATGACAAAAAAGGGAAGTTGTTGCAAATAATATTTGTACTTTTTTATCATCAGAAAGTGTGTGGGTTTTGTAGTATAAAATGATGCATATATAAAGATATTCCATACATATGAATTCTCTGTATATAATAAAACAAAAAAATATTTAATATTCTTTTACTGCTAGCTAGTCCATTATCTTGTGACAACGTTCTTATGCTTATTTTTGTGTTCAGGTTGTATACCCAAAGACATTGGCAATCTCCATAAACTTGAATTATTAGATATATATGACAATTATATTGGAGGACCTTTTCCTTCCAGTATGTTAAACATTTCAACATTGACATTTGTCTCCCTTGCAAAGAATTTTCTAAATGGACAAATCCCAAATAGCATTTCAAATGCCTCTAACCTCGTTATGTTAGATTTGAAGCTGAATAAATTTATTAGAGCTATACCCAATGCAATTGGAAATTTAAAAACTTGATGGCATTGTATGTTGAAGGGAATGATTTGAGTGGGTTCATTCCTTGTACAGTTTACAAATTACAAGGCCTTCACAATTTACAAATTACAAGGCCTTCAACATTTAAGTCTAACAACTGATTGCAAGGGTCCATTGTAAGAGAGTTATGCCAAATCAGAAGTTTAAGTGAGTTGTTTCTTGCCAACAACATGTTTTCAGGAAAGGTACCAGGGTGTCTTGGGAATAGTTCTTTGTGGAAGTTGGATTTCAGCTCTAACAAATTGACTTCTCCTCTGCCCTCTTCTCTTTGGAGTATGGAAGATATCTTGGTCTTAGACTTATCCTCCAATGCAATAAGCGGAACAATTCCATCTGATGTGTCAAACCTAAGGGCCATTATAGTATATTGAACTTGTCAAGAAATCAAATTTCTGGAACTATCCCAAAAACTATTGGTGGCTTGCAAACTTTGCAAAACTTATCTTTGGCCCATATCAAATTACAAGGGCCTATTCCTGACTTGCTTGGTGGCATGATAAACATAGAGCTCTTGGATCTTTCTGAAAATTATTTGTCTAGTGTGATTCCAAAGTCCTTTGAGTCACTACTCCATCTAAAATATATTAATCTTTCCTACAATTTATTGCATGGAAAAATTCCAAATGGTGGGCCTTTTCAAAATTTTACCGCTGAATCTTTTATGATGAATAAAGATCTTTGTGGGAAGCCTCAACTATAAGTCCAATCATGTAGGAAAGAAGACAAGTACATATCAAGTAAAGTGATGATGCTCATGAAAATCTCATTGCCTATCATTGTTGTCCTTTTGGTTGTTTCATGCATCTTCTTTCTAAAGCATAAGAGAGATGTTAATGGTTTAACCAATAAGGATTTAATTAATTTGGAGACACCAATTAGGATATCCTATTATGAGCTTCTACGAGGAACAAATGGATTTGATGAGAGAAATCTCCTTGGCTTTGGAAGTTATGGATCAGTATACAAAGCAAATCTGTCAAGTGAAAAAATAGTTGCTGTTAAAGTATTTAACTCAGACTTGGAAGAAGCATTGAGGAGTTTTGATATTGAATGTGATGCATTATGCAATTTTTGTCATCGCAATCTTGTTAAGATCATAAGCACTTGTTCAAAATATGATTTTAAATCTATAATCATGGAGTTCATGCCAAACAGGAGTCTTGATAGATGGTTGTACTCTCATAGACATTGTTTAGATATTTTGCAAAGGCTGAATATATTGATTGATGTAGAAGCTGCATTAGAATATCTTCATCATGGTTCATCTAAATCAGTTGTTCACTGTTTTGTAAAACTGAGTAATGTATTATTGGATGAAGATATGGTGGCTCATCTTAGTGATTTTGGTATTGCCAAATTGTTAGGGGAAGGATAAAATGAAATTTATACCAAAACTTTGGCAACAATTGGCTACATGGCACCAAGTAATGATTTAATTAAAAACTTTGTACGTTTGATTCATTTCTTTTCTTTTATTGTTGGTTTTTTTTTTTTTTTGGTATTTGATTCATGTCTTTTCTATGTTGGTTTGATGAGCCACCAATGTAGAAAACTTACCTTTTTTAAGTATAGTAATGGCATTGAGCAAGTTTCTTTCTTTCTTTGTTTTTTTTCTTCAAAAGTGTTAACATGTGAAGACATGTATTAATGACATAAAATATAAGCTTAACCGCAAACCTGAAATTATATTTTTTTGACGTGATTGCTTTTATCTAATTATTCAAATTGGTCTATATATAGTATGGATCAAGAGGAGCTGTATCTGTGAAAGGAGATGTATATGGTTATGGCATTTTGCTTATGGAAACTCTTACAAGAAAGAAGCCAACATATGAGATGTTTGTTCAAGGTTTGAGTTTGAAAGATTGGGTTAGTATATCAACACCATATTCAATTATCGAGGTTCTAGACACTAATTTTCTGCCCAAGGACAATCAAAATATTGATAACGTATTACCACATATATCATCAATTTTTGAGCTGGCATTAAATTGTTGTGCTGATTTACCTAAGGCACGACCTACTATGATTAATGCCGTGGTGTCATTGAAAAAAATAAGGTCATGTTTGTGTAAGATGTTACCATTAGTTGAATGATTGTTGAGTTAGATTTTTATTTACTATTTCTTTAGTTTGTTTTATTTGGGGCGCATGAAGTTTTGTAAAATAATAGTGATGGTGTTTGCTATATTAACATATGAAGTATTTGAGATTTGAGATTTTGTGACGTGATCATCAGAGCTTTAGCTATCTTCAAGTTATTTTTTAATGAAAAACGTTGTATGCATTACAACTTTATTTGGATATCTTATACAATATGGATCTCTTGCATACATCTCATTTCCTTGGTCGTCTTTTGTGGGCAAGGATTGTTGGGATTTTTCTTTAAATAATTAGAGCAAGCTGGGCAGTGGTTTTCATTTTGATTTACTTAAAAATGCTTTCATTTTCATTATATTGGCATATTTGTTTCTTTTCAAATATTTGTGTCAGCTAATGAATCTAAGACTAAAATATTTTTAGTGAATAACATTCATCAAAAATAAAATTTAAAAGAACAAAATAATAAAGTTACCATTATATAAAATAATTACAAGGAAAATAATTCAATATAATAACTCACAAAATCTAGAAATATCAATCATAATAATAAAATGTGAATGAATTAAAATTACTTGATTTTGATATGTTAAAAGAGAATAATTTATTCATATTTAAATAAAGGTAACAAACTTACTAACTGCAAACATTGAAAATTCAAATATGCTAGCTGAAAATAATCAATATAATATAATCATGAATTTAAAAATTAAGAAATTCCATATAGCTTCAAAAATACTAAACCACTGAATTTACAATGACAAAAAAAATCTAAATGCTTTGTTGTTGTAAAATAAAATGGATTTAGTGAATAAATAAAAATAATATCCTTTATTAAATAAAATCAACGAAGTGTGTATTCACAAATCAATCAAAAGCTAATGATTTAAGGACTTTGCAGAACAAGTAACAAACATAAACACACAGTCTATGAAAATAAAATAACCAAACGCGACTGATGCCATGAAAACAAATGTGGACACATAGTCCACGAGGGTAACACTAACCAAACGTGACTCAAAGCCACAAAATCAAACGTAGGTATGAGACCCATGAATAACAAACATGAGTACGATACTCACAAAATTCAAACTAACTAGTTATTATCCAAAGTGCCAAGGGTTAATGGAACTGTCGTTAGCGACAGTATTCTACTTAAAGTCTTCTTAAAAGTCACTTTTCAAACATGCGAGAAAATAATCATTTTTGAAATACAATTTTCTTTCTCAATACCAAACTCGCATGAATTATCTTAAGCTTCAATTCAATACTTGTCATAATAAAATTTCATAAATAATGTTCATTCTGCCATTTTTGAATAGCCAAAAATTTCAAGAATTTGATAATAAAAAAAATTGCCTTCATCAACCTTAAAAGTCTATCTTTTTGAGAAAATTTACTAACACAAATCATAATTTAATTATCCCTTAACATTATTCTATAATCTCACAAATAAATAAATTGATTAATTAATTAACAAGGTAACCAACATATATCATAGTTGTTAATAAGAATGATACATAAAAAAAATGTAATAAATTTAATGAAAGACTTTTATTGATAAATAAATTGGAGTGGTATTCACTTACCTACTAAATTCCAATATCCAATTATATATTTCTGCCTCAATTCTTATCAAGGTACTCATCTTCCACATACCCTCTAAGAATATGTGTAAGTGAAACTTCAATTTACCTCTTGTAGTTTATAAACTTTATTCCACTACCAACACAATTCCAACCAATTGCAAGTATTCAAAATTCCAAAAAACCAAAATTCATATCTTAATGTTTTATCCATCATCATCACTTACCACTAATTTATCTCATAACACTTTAATCATGACAACTATTTGAATGAGGTATGGTTTTCTTATACCTTATGTCACACATCTTGTGTGCAAAATTTCCAAACTATTCAATAAAACTTTTTAATCGATAGCTTCTTGCCCAACAAATTTCCAAACACCCATAATTAAATTTATCATGTTTCTTTTACCCATTTTCTCAAACACATTAAATGCATTCTCAATATCAAATAATAAACCAGCACCATAGTTATAAATTTATAAATTACATAATATAAACTTCCAAAATTCAACTAAATAAAATTTGAATCAATCATGCTTCTCATCACAATCAATAGAATTTCAAAAAATTCAAACTCAAGTAAGGCTCTTCTAACAAGCATTTTCCCGAATATCTTATAGGCATTAATCCTTAAACTAATATTAATCTATTCCTCTTTAATTTTACTTTTCTAAAATTTTACAATTCAGCATGGTAATCAATAATTCTATCAAATTCGATTAAAACTTAAACCCACACCAACATCACATCATCATCATCATTTTTTACAGCCACAATTTCCAACTTAAATCAAACTTCCCCTTCCTATACACTCATATATATGGTCACGTACAGCAGCAGCAAAGGAAATAATTGTTCAACTTCAATCATCTAGTCATACACCACTCATATAGGCTCAACAAGGAAGAGAGTTCGAAGCCCTTCCCATCATAGTGACAATCTCTTTAACACACACACAGAGGATCGAGAAAGGAGGAAGAGATTTATAAATCCATACCTCTAATCAATAATAATGAGAGATGGGAAACAGAATGCTTGTCACACCCCGAAACTCAAGGTATGACTAGCATGAAATATGAGATGAACTCATATTCCATAAGCCATAATTAGCTAGAGGTTAATTTAAAATATTAATATAAAAGTTATATATAATAATAAAATTTGCAAAGTCCTAAATATTGTATAGAAATTTTGGCAAAATCTCCTCTATAGTTTGGATCCCCTAAAATTTCTCATAATGACATAATCTGTTAACCAATCCAACCGTAGAGACTAGCTCCACACTAGCAAATTACATATCGATAAATTATGGTATACGTGGAGCACTAAGTTACAATTACATAAAACAATTCATTTACAACAAAATAACCAGAAATGTGCTACCACTATGTGAAAAGTGATACTGCCCCTCAACGATTAGCAAACAAGGTCATCTACAATATTTGAGACCAAAAAAATTTTTGGTGAGTAGCGTTCCAATTGAGATTATAAATTATAACTAATTAAAGATAAAATGTGTTAGGTTGTAACTAATAAATTTGATTTAAACAATTAAAAGAATAGTGAAACTTACTTTGGTTACAATGAATGACGAGTTTCCTCTATAGTATAACCATGAAACTAACAATAGCATTAAAATCAGATAAGTTTATCAAATTTTTTCTATTATATATATATATATATAAAGATTTCAAATTATAGAGCAATTAAGAAAAATCCCTTTAAAGAAACTAATATAAAAATGATAAGTTATAAATCTAATATAGGAGGGCTTTATCAGAACGAATAGCAGGCGTGAACATACAATCCATGAGGGCAAATAACCAATCAAGTGTAGCTAAAAGCCATGAAACAAGCGTGGCAAAAGCCACAAATCAACCGCAGGCATGAAGCCCACGAAAACCTCTGTTCCACGTGCATTGGCCAGCATCTCCTATAAGCACCCTACTAGCTAGGTGTACCATGGCGCGCTAAGAGCTAATGGAATTGCTGTTAGCATCCAACGTTCTGAACTCAATCCCCCTCATTAAAATCAAGTGTGTATGGAGAAAGAAAGCAATTTCAAAGTTTTAATCTTCAACTATGCTATTTCGCTATTAATTCCCATTACTCAGATTCATTTTTCAAATTAAACATGAAATTAAATAATTAAACTGCAGTATTATAAATTATTGATAAAATTAAGACATGATCATCAATAAAACAATTATTACAAAAAAAATTAAATTGAAAAGGATATTAATACAATTTACAAGGGAATAATATTAAAATTCAAATAAAGAAATTTTATAAAAACATTATTAAAAATTTATTTGGAATGCTACCCACTCATCTGAATGTTTTTCCAAGGATTCTAAAACTTGCTTCTCTTAACTTTTGACTTTTATTCTAATGATATTTGTAATGTCCTGACAAATGAGTCCAAATTCTAAAATCATTCCTCCAATAATCCTCCAGACACTTAATGGGCATTAATATTCAATCCAATCGATACTAACAGTACTATAACTAATTACATGCCAAGTACACTTAAGTTAATCAAATCATTTGACAATTCTCAATTTACCCTCACACTTTTTTATGACCCATACTCGTTCATAAATCGTTATAAATCATGTTTATCATTCTTAAGCTTTCTCTAGACTAAAAATAAAATAAGCGTCATACATAATCCTTTTTCCCCACT